CTCCGCCCGGCCGGCAGCCCCCGGCCCGCCGGCATCTCCCCGGGCCGAGCGGGCTTTGATGGCCAGGGCTGCAGCTCCCACACAATTGACTTTTATTTCCTTTCTATCAAAGTGGTCCTGGAGGAAATGGAGCAGGGTAAAAGAATGATGTCACGGAATTCTCGCTTGTAAACTTTATTGTAACTTTCTTCCGCCGCTTCCAGGTTTAGACAATAGAACAAAGTGATGAAAGAACAACAAAATATATCATTAGTTCCCCCAATAAAGTAATTCACGTATACAGTATACATTCTTTTTCACAGTTAACCTAAAGATCACTTTACAACTTGCTTCACTGTGCGCATGCTAACTAAAGGAGAGAAAAACGCTTTTTTCTTGTCTTTTTTTTTTCTTTTTTCCCCTTTTTTTGGAAGAGACATTCAAAAATCCTGAAAAAAAAAAAAAAAAAAAAAAAAAAAAAAAAAAAAATCCGCAACCAAAAAAAAAAAAAAGAACAGAAGTAAGGGAAGTAAAAGAGAGGAAGAGAGAGAGAGATAACTATAGCATACATAGGCAGTTTCATGTTGTTGGGATGTTTGTCTCAATAGCTACCTCCAGTACATACAGGAAAACCACAACAAAAAAGGTGGAAAATAATTAAAAAAAAAGTGCACAAATGTAATTTCACGTAACTCCTATAGCATTGAAAGCTCTGGTAACCAACCCACCCCCCAGGAAAGAGAGAGACAGAGAGAAGGACAGAGAGAGGTTTCACAGTCATGGTTTACATAAGCTATTGCGTTACACTACCACTAGTTAATAACTGGCAAAAGGCAGGAGAGACCTCCCGACCACTTCTGCATTCTGTTCATTGTATCAAAGGATAATCAGGAAAGTGGGGCTTACAGCGATATTGTTTTACAGCAATAAAAGGTTTTTGTTTTTGTTTTTTGTTTTTTTCCCTTGCTCTTTTCTATGCATTGTTGGTTTTCCCCCACCCCTCCCTTACATTAACGCGGGGCTCAGGGGCTCTTCCACCCCAGCAGCGCTTGCCTTTCAGTCCTTAAAAATCCTTTTATTTCTTGTCCGCCTTCTGTGCTTCCCCTTCCTCGTCCACCTCCTGGGCTCTTTCCATTTTCTGTTTTTCCAGTTCTTCCTGCTCGCATTTGCTGCTGGGAAACTTGTCTTTGTTGTTTTCCTTTTTCCATTTCATCCTCCTGTTCTGGAACCAGATTTTGACCTGCCTTTCTGTCAATCCCAGGGCATGCGAGACCTCGATCCTCCGTTTGCGGGTCAGGTAGGGATTAAATAGAAATTCCTTCTCCAGTTCCAGCGTCTGGTAGCGGCTGTAGGTTTGCCTCCCCCTCCTCCGTCCAGCGGCTGCTGGGGAATTGCAAAGGTTGGGTGGAAGAGGGGAAGAAGAGAGGAGGTTGAAAGAAACATAAACCAGGCTCGGGAATAGGCACACACCGGCTCACACCCGCTCACACCCGCTCACAGACACCCCCACACACTCACACCCGCTCACACCCCCCCCCCCCCGCCCCCCCCCCCCCCCCCACCCCCCACCCCTCCATCCCAGTGGGAGCGGTGAGCTGTGTGGGGCTGCGGGTGGGGCGAGCCGTGGGGCACACAGAGCTGCCCTG